GTGTCACCTCACCATGAGAGTGTCACCTCACCATGAGAGTGTCACCTCACCATGAGAGTGTCACCTCACCATGAGTGTCACCTCACCATGAGAGTGTCACCTCACCATGAGAGTGTCACCTCACCATGAGTGTCACCTCCCCATGAGTGTCACCTCACCATTAGTGTCACCTCACCATGAGAGTGTCACCTCACCATGAGAGTGTCACCTCACCATGAGAGTGTCACCTCACCATGAGAGTGTCATCTCACCATGAGTGTCACCTCACCATGAGAGTGTCACCTCACCATGAGAGTGTCACTTCACCATGAGTGTCACCTCACCATGAGAGTGTCACCTCACCATGAGAGTGTCACCTCACCATGGGAGTGTCATCTCACCATGGGAGAGTCACCTCACCATGAGAGTGTCACCTCACCATGGGAGTGTCACCTCACCATGAGAGTGTCACCTCACCATGGGAGTGTCACCTCACCATGAGAGTGTCACCTCACCATGAGAGTGTCATCTCACCATGAGAGTGTCCCCTCACCATGAAAGTGTCACCTCACCATGGGAGTGTCACCTCACCATGAGTGTCACCTCACCATGAGAGTGTCACCTCACCATGAGAGTGTCACCTCACCATGAGAGTGTCACCTCACCATGAGTGTCACCTCACCATGAGTGTCACCTCACCATGAGTGCCACCTCACCATGAGAGTGTCACCTCACCATGAGAGTGTCACCTCACCATGAAAGTGTCACCTCACCATGAGTGTCACTTCACCATGAGAGTGTCACCTCACCATCAGTGTCACCTCAGCATGAGTGTCACCTCACCATGAGAGTGTCACCTCACCATGAGTGTCACCTCACCATGAGTGTCACCTCACCATGAGTGTCACCTCACCATGAGTGTCACCTCACCACGAGAGTGTTACCTCACCATGAGTGTCACCTCACCATGAGTGTCACCTCACCATGAGTGTCAGTTACCTCACCATGAGTGTCACCTCACCATGAGTGCCACCTCACCATGAGAGTGTCACCTCACCATGAGTGTCACCTCACCATGAGTGTCACCTCACCATGAAAGTGTCACTTCACCATGAGTGTCACCTCACCATGAGAGTGACACCTCACCATGAGAGTGTCACCTCACCATGAGAGTGTCACCTCACCATGAGTGTCACCTCACCATGAGTGTCACCTCACCATGAGAGTGTCACCTCACCATGAGTGTCACCTCACCATGAGAGTGTCACCTCACCATGAGAGTGTCACCTCACCATGAGAGTGTCACCTCACCATGAGTGTCACCTCACCATGAGAGTGTCACCTCACCATGAGAGTGTCACCTCATCATGAGTGTCACCTCCCCATGAGTGTCACCTCACCATTAGTGTCACCTCACCATGAGAGTGTCACCTCACCATGAGAGTGTCACCTCACCATTGGAGTGTCATCTCACCATGAGAGTGTCACCTCACCATGAGAGTGTCATCTCACCATGAGTGTCACCTCACCATGAGTGTCACCTCACCATGAGTTTGTCACCTCACCATGAGTGTCACCTCACCATGAGAGTGTCACCTCACCATGAGAGTGTTACCTCACCATGAGAGTGTCACCTCACCATGAGTGTCACCTCACCATGAGAGTGTCACCTCACCATGAGAGTGTCACCTCACCATGAGTGTCACCTCCCCATGAGTGTCACCTCACCATTAGTGTCACCTCACCATGAGAGTGTCACCTCACCATGAGAGTGTCACCTCACCATGAGAGTGTCACCTCACCATGAGAGTGTCATCTCACCATGAGTGTCACCTCACCATGAGAGTGTCACCTCACCATGAGAGTGTCACTTCACCATGAGTGTCACCTCACCATGAGAGTGTCACCTCACCATGAGAGTGTCACCTCACCATGGGAGTGTCATCTCACCATGGGAGTGTCACCTCACCATGAGAGTGTCACCTCACCATGGGAGTGTCACCTCACCATGAGAGTGTCACCTCACCATGAGAGTGTCACCTCACCATGAGAGTGTCACCTCACCATGAGAGTGTCACCTCACCATGAGAGTGTCACCTCACCATGGGAGTGTCACCTCACCATGAGTGTCACCTCACCATGAGAGTGTCACCTCACCATGAGTGTCACCTCACCATGAGTGTCAGTCACCTCACCATGAGTGTCACCTCACCATGAGTGTCACCTCACCATGAGTGTCATCTCACCATGAGTGTCACCTCACCATGAGTGTCAGTCACCTCACCATGAGTGTCACCTCACCATGAGTGTCACCTCACCACGAGAGTGTCACCTCACCATGAGTGTCACCTCACCACGAGAGTGTCACCTCACCATGAGTGTCACCTCACCATGAGTGTCACCTCACCATGAGTGTCAATCACCTCACCATGAGTGTCACCTCACCATGAGTGTCACCTCACCATGAGCATCACCTCACCATGAGAGTGTCACCTCACCATGAGAGTGTCACCTCACCATGAGTGTCACCTCACCATGAGAGTGTCACCTCACCATGAGAGTGTCACCTCACCATGAGTGTCACCTCACTATTAGAGTGTCACCTCACCATGAGTGTCACCTCGCCATGAGAGTGTCACCTCACCATGAGTGTCACCTCACCACGAGAGTGTCACCTCACCATGAGAGTGTCACCTCACCATGAGAGTGTCACCTCACCATGAGTGTCACCTCACCATGCGTGTCACCTCACCATGAGTGTCACCTCACCATGAGAGTGTCACCTCACCATGAGAGTGTCACCTCACCATGAGTGTCACCTCACCATGAGAGTGTCACCTCACCATGAGAGTGTCACCTCACCATGAGAGTGTCACCTCACCATGAGAGTGTCACCTCACCATGAGTGTCACCTCACCATGAGTGTCACCTCACCATGAGTGTCACCTCACCATGAGAGTGTCACCTCACCATGAGAGTGTCACCTCACCATGAGTGTCACCTCACCATGAGTGTCACCACTATGAGAGTGTCACCTCACCATGAGTGTCACCTCGCCATGAGAGTGTCACCTCACCATGAGTGTCACCTCACCACGAGAGTGTCACCTCACCATGAGAGTGTCACCTCACCATGAGAGTGTCACCTCACCATGAGTGTCACCTCACCATGAGTGTCACCTCACCATGAGAGTGTCACCTCACCATGAGAGTGTCACCTCACCATGAGAGTGTCACCTCACCATGAGTGTCACCTCACCATGAGTGTCACCTCACCATGAGTGTCACCTCACCATGAGTGTCACCTCACCATGAGAGTGTCACCTCACCATGAGAGTGTCACCTCACCATGAGAGTGTCACCTCACCATGAGTGTCACCTCACCATGAGTGTCACCTCACCATGAGAGTGTCACCTCACCATGAGAGTGTCACCTCACCATGAGAGTGTCACCTCACCATGAGAGTGTCACCTCACCATGAGTGTCACCTCACCATGAGTGTCACCTCACCATGAGTGTCACCTCACCATGAGAGTGTCACCTCACCATGAGAGTGTCACCTCACCATGAGAGTGTCACCTCACCATGAGTGTCACCTCACCATGAGTGTCACCTCACAATGAGAGTGTCACCTCACCATGAGAGTGTCACCTCACCATGAGAGTGTCACCTCACCATGAGAGTGTCACCTCACCATGAGTGTCACCTCACCATGAGTGTCACCTCACCATGAGTGTCACCTCACCATGAGAGTGTCACCTCACCATGAGAGTGTCACCTCACCATGAGTGTCACCTCACCATGAGTGTCACCTCACAATGAGAGTGTCACCTCACCATGAGAGTGTCACCTCACCATGAGAGTGTCACCTCACCATGAGAGTGTCACCTCACCATGAGTGTCACCTCACCATGAGTGTCACCTCACCATGAGAGTGTCACCTTACCATGAGAGTGTCACCTCACCATGAGAGTGTCACCTCACCATGAGTGTCACCTCACCATGAGTGTCACCTCACCATGAGAGTGTCACCTCACCATGAGTGTCACCTCACCATGAGAGTGTCACCTCACCATGAGAGTGTCACCTCACCATGAGTGTCACCTCCCTCACACACACTACGCATCAAGCTTGTATGTTGCGACTCGTTCTTTGTTCACTCATGATTACAAAGAACTTCATAGTTTATTATTTGTATATAAGTATATGTAGCCAGTTTTTTCACTCGTGTAATAAAGAATACAATAACTTAATATAGTGTGTTAATGCGTTCACATATTATAAATATATACACACACACATATATATATATATATATATATATATATATATATATATATATATATATATATATATATATATATATAATATATATATATATATATATATATATATATATATATATATATATATATATATATATATATATATATATATATGTATGTATATATATACATGTTGAAATTCTACCGCTAACCTACTTAAAAACTGAGGAAAATGTGCTTTTGTAACTACGTACTCTGCTTTAATGATAAATTATTTTCATTTGGCTTTTTGTTATAGGTCAGAACTTGAATATATATTAATGGTAACATTTTAAGCCAGTGTACTTTTGGTTAGTTACTAATGTAATGCTTGTTGTTAATGAAGAGTAATATATTACAGGGTATAACTGGAAGGATGTGACGTCACGAACACAATATCCGCAGCCAATCAGCGAGCAGCGACGGCACTGGCACTGGCACTGGCGCGAACGAGTCGTCATGTGGGTGGGAAAAGACACAGTTACCACCTCCCCGTCATCAACTCATAATGTATTTTGCACACAGGAACACATATATCACCACTTCTAACTCTTTAGAATTAAATACACATTAGTTTCCTTCTTTCTCAGCCCGGTAATGTACATGAGTTTATTATAAGTTTCTTATAAAAGATAAAAGATGAGTGGTGTTTGTGTATGAAGGTTGTGGCATCAGTTGTTAAGGCGAGCCTGGAGGGGAGCGGAGCGGCGGTGGTGCTGGTAGTGTCTGGTGCGACGCCCCTCACTAAGGTAGTTTATACTGCACCTCCGGAGGTGAAGACTCGCTCAACACTCTCCCTACAACCCTCGCCCTCACCGAATTTCCATTGTATACTCTCTGACAGGTAGTACTAGCGTGTGTTTTCAACAGCTGGTGGTGAAGTCCTTCGATAACTACCTAAAACCCCCAACATAACCTATGATAACTTTAGTTAAACCCCCAACAAAGTCTATTTCAACTTTAGCTAAAGCGCAAAAAAAGCCTATTAACTAATAGGCTTTAGCTAAATTTTAGCTAAAGTCTATCAGCGTCTAGTGATTACCTTAAAATCATTACGATTGAAAAATTTCGTACAACAGGTTCGTCCATTGTGAATAAAAAAAGGCTCAAAATTCCATCAAAATTTTGTGTAACTGGCTTTCGAATGTTCCCCGGAACACGGGTATACTTCACAAATAATCGTAGCACATGCAAATATATAATGTAGTTGGGTTATATTCTTTGTTATATTGTCTTTGTTACATTGATTTATATTGTCTTTGTTACACTGAGTTATATTTGCTATTCTGGCTTAAAGGACAATTCTGCTGAGTTGTGTCACTACTGACTAAACTAGCAGCCTGACTTAAGTAGTGCTAGGCTAGTTAGTAGCTGGTTATTGCAGCCCTAAACTACATAGTAAAGTAAAAAAAACACAGGTGCAACTAATGTGACATTTTATTGTGGCAACGTTTCGCTCTCCAGGAGCTTCGTCAAGCCGTTCCTGGAGACCGAAACGTTGCCACAATGAAATGTCACATTAGTTGCACCTGTCTCTTTTTGCTTTACATATTGTCGGTAATTCTACCAACATATATACAAGCTACATAGTAGCTAGTTATTGTAGTGCTAGACTATATAGCTATTGCAGTGCTGGGCTAGCCAGTGTCTAGTTATTGCAGTGCTAGTCTAGACAGTGCCTAGTTTTTGCAGTACTACACTAATGGTTAATTAATAGCAGAAAAAGACTAGCTAGCAGCTAGTTATCACAATCCTAGATGGCTTCTTCTTTCATAATAAACCAGCTAGTAGCTAGTTATAGAACTAAACTCACAAGTGGTTGGTTGTTGCAGGAATAGATAAATCATCTAGTAGTTAATGTAGCACGAAATTGCCAACCCGATTAGATGCAATACTAGACTAGTTAGTAACTAGTTATTGCGCCACTACATCAACTAGCAGACTAGGTATGATTGTATTAGATGAACATGCGTCCTATTTTAAGTTATGATTGCGCAACTAAACAGTAGTATGGCTAGTTACATTTACTGGATTAACTGACTGAATAGTTATGAGGATACTAGATAAACTAGCAGAATGACTGTAGGTAGCATTAGATCACAAAGTAGTGTGATTAGTTATGGCAGTGCTAGGTCAGATAGAAACGTTACTATAATGCAAGTGCTAGATCGACTAAAAGTTGTATTTGCTGCTAGTTGTATTTTATACTACTGTTAATTGTGATATACTTGAATAACTAGCAGCGTAGGCTAGTGATGACTGCTAGAACAACTAGCATCAATGTAACAATATGACGGTACTGGATCACCTCATAACATGTTATTACAGTAGATAGACCATCGCCCTACCTAGTTAGGATGGTAAACTAATCTGCCAACTAGCAAAAAATGCAACAGCACACTCTATATTATATATATATATATATATATATATATATATATATATATATATATATATATATATATATATATATATATATATATATATATATATATATATTATATTATATTATACATACTTATTTATATATTTTATAGATACTTTTTGGGGATATTCTTATTGTGCACACTTTTTGGGATATAATTAGTGTATAAAATTTTGGGTATAGTACTTTTTAAGCATACTTTTGGGTATATATTCTACATTACATATATGGTATCTTTTTTTAACATTTTTGGGTATACACTTCTTGAACATAACTTTTGTATATACTTTTTTGTATGTACAAGTGTTACTGTATATACTTCCCTCGCGATGGAAGTGGCTGGGGAGGGGTGTGGGAAAGGTGGGAGTCACTACCAACCGAACAAGAGATCGAAGACTGGACTCCTGAGGCGACAGAGTGACTCAACAGCCCGAGTGGCGCCTTCAGCTGCTATTGTTATCCGCATTACTGTTTTATTCTTCTGCTGTATTATTGTTGCTATTCTTATGTTCTGGAAGGAAAGCTCCTCCAAACCTTCGTCTCTTCGATGCAGTACGCTGTCTGTGATCAGAATGGAGGTGTAGCGTTGTTTATCGTGTCTGTGTTACTGTTACAGTGTATCCTTTGTTTGTTTAGCTCTGCATCAGTACTCTTCATGAAGGATGCCTTTATGGTGGTGAATTGCTCCGGAACTAAGGAATTAGAACTATTTTTCCCTTCTTTGGATCTAACCTGATGGCCTAATATTCCTTACGGGGTACGCTGTGTGACCTCTACGTCTTTAATGTTTTTCTATGAATACATAATAATAATCCACAGCAGTTGTCGTATGAGACCTTTGGGAGGCCTAGTAGAAAGCCTGGGACGATTTATAATTTTTACTTATTGAAGCTACATTGTTTCCTCCGGAGATATTTCT